CACAGCAATCTCTACACTGGTGAAACTAGGCTTCAGAATAGTGCCATGTGTCCTCTAGGCACACCCAGTTGACAAACAGCAGAACCCAGACCTCTGCTCTGCGGTCCCACAGCCATACTCCTGTGAGTAGGACAGGCTGTTCCTGACATACCCACTGCCCTCCCTTTTCCACTAAGAGGCCAGCACCCAAAGATAGTGCAGTAGCCATTCTTGGGCCCCCTTCCTCACCTCCGTGAGAAGGCAGCCCAGGAGAGTCTCTCTTCACTGAAACAGCTATCCTGTGCCAACTCCATCCCATCTACTTCCACTCTGTACTTTATCCTACACACACTGTCTGGAACCAATAAAAGGTACATGGAAGAACTGAAGGCACTCTGTATGGCTTTCAAAATCACATACATATGTAACCACAACAAAGGTACATTTAAAATGTAAAGAGTTAGGTTTTTAAGCAGACATATGTACTTGTATGCGGATGTCCTTTTTCACTGGAAACAAATTGTATGCTAGCCTGTATTAGTTCGCAAGCAGTTTCTTCTAGGAGGCCCTGGCTCGAGGATCAGATTCAAAACGGCACAAAATCCTGGGCTGAGTAGCTCTGGTATTGTTATTGGTGTTTTTCATTTTGTTTTGGTCATTCAACTACAAGGGAAACTGTCTAGCCCTGAATGCCAGCTTCTCTATACAGGTACAATCACGGACCACTTTCAGTGACCAACTGGGGCTGAGTTAAGAGACCTAAGGCTACTGAATCTCAACATGAAATCTCTTCAGCCCTACGCAGCTCAACACAGACAACTGGTTTCCCTAGGAACTCCATTCAGAGAGCGCCTCCGGGAACAACCCTTCTATGTTCAGAGTAGCCGTTAACAGCCGAGTAATTAAACACTGAAAGTAAGGGATATAATTAAAATGCTGACAAACCTGAACCAGAGTGGCACAAGTTGGGCCGCTATAATGTTTTTACAATTCCTTTTTATACATAATGTATGATCCTTCTGCTCAAGTTTCCTCTATGTTCCTTGCCTCTGAAATAATTTACATTAATAAATAATTTATTACCATAACTCCTGAAGTAATTATGGGTTTTCATCCTTTTTTTTTTTTTTAAGCATATGAATTGTTTTGTTCTCTGTCCATTGACTTGTATTTACAAGATTCTTCCTAGTGGCCTTTTGGGAATAATTGGTGTTGCCTTTGCTTTCTCACATTTTATATGATTTCTAATCTCCTGGCCTGAGTGGTAAGAAAGATGGAATGTGTGGTATCTACTATCCTGACGAAAATAGGGTTTAGTTAGTGGCTGCGATTAGCCAACGGTAATGAATGGGGTCTGCACTCACCCCACTTGCCCTGTTTTATATAAAAAGAAAAAGGAAAGAAAGGAAAGAGAAGCTGGCACACCTGTGACCTCAGGCAAGCATGAAGTCGCCTCTCCCAGAGGGTCACAGGCTCAGGCTAAGACTTCCCATGCAGCCCCTGCTTCACGGAATCCAGGACACCCCTCCCACACCTCCTGAGCCCACCAGAAGTAGGTGTAAGGAACAGTGCAGCTCCCAGTCCAGATGGCAGGCCGGGAGCTGCCACTCAACTCAAATGTCTTGAGTAGATGCCTCTCCCGCGAGAGCCGCCTGCATGGGAAATCCTGCCTCAGTACAGAGGTGGGTGGGGAAGATCTGAGGGTGAGAAAAGCCCCCGGCGTCTGCTAGAAGGAGCTGGCCTGGCACCTAAGAAGGAGCCTTCAGCTGGGGACAAAGCAGGTGCACAGGGCTGGGCTCTGTTTTGTCTCGTGTCTCCTGTCCACACCTAACCCAGATTTGTTCTCTCCCTCACTTTAGGAAAGTGTAAAAATACTTTGTATCAAGTTCCCAAATCGAGGTGGGGCACAAGGGTAGGGAAGGGTCTGGTATCCAGTTCACAATCGCAAGAATGAAGTATTTTAAAAAATAAAACAGCCCATCCATTGTTAAGAGCACTTGATTCTACTATGCTGGACTGTAAGTTGGCACCGAGGCAGTTCAGCCACCCACAAGGGTGGCATTCTGTGAAGAAGCAGTAACCCAGTGCTGCTCTCCGAGCCCTGGTGCTCTTACTGGCTTTTCTTCAGGGCACCTAGGAAGCCCCCCACACTGGTTCCCAGATAGGAACCTGGAATGGGGTTAAGAGGGAAAACCCCGAGTCACAGAGGTTTGTCTTCAGGAGCCTGGGCTGGGGTGGTGATTATGACAATTGACATTTTATCTTTGCTCAGCACTGTCCAGCCCTGGAAGGGCCAAAAACCCTCTTGAAAAGTCTGGCCAGCCCCTCAGGGTGTTCTCTTCCCTGCTATTGAAAAGTGAGCACACCCAAGATGAGATCCCCCTGCCTGGGGTGCACTCCCAGTGTGCCACAGTGACCGAACAAGGCAAGGCCACAAACTTCTCCATTCGTGGAATCAATGGGCTGGACAGCTGATGGGAGCTACCTGCTCCAACTCACAGGGAAGTAGGGAGGCCTCTGACTGCTGAGACCCCTGGTCAGCAGCTGCTGGAATGGACAGAATGTGGGAGCACCTCCTACCCACAGAAGCTATGCTTTGCCAGAAGAAGAGATCAAGAAACGGGAAAATGGATTCTACCACTCAATGGCTCTACTGGCCTCCCCAATCTTGGCACATGGACAGCATACTGTCTATGGCTCTTGCTCCTCTATTAGACATAAAGTTCCTTTTGGGTTAGGACAGGGTCCCTTTCATTCTGCCCAGCATTAAGTACCTAGAACATGCTAAATGCTCAATGAAAATCTATGAGAACAAGCCCCTGAAACCCCTTGTGGTGAATGAAAGCCCTGGTAGCACATGTCACACGGGGCACAGCTCTCCTGAATCAAGGAAAGCTGAGCAGCAGGCAGATGAGGGGCATGGAGCTGGAGAAGCAGAGTGCACAGGCATCTCCAGCATCTAAGAAGCTACCCCTGCATCGCCTCTGAGTGGCGAGACTTCAGCACTGTTCTGGAGAAGTGTGAGCCAGTAGGCAGCCAGTGAGGCTCGGATAGGGCTTCCAGAAGAGTCAACCTGTAAACACAGACTGGCACTTCCTCCAAACCCTGTGCTACCTTGGATAGAAAGCAGGCTGTGTACCTCATAGGCTCAGGCAGCCAGAGGGTCCTGGACAACCTGGGCTGCTGACTGCTGATCACCCATCTCCTTCTCCAGGCCTCTACTCTGGCCCCATGGGCAACTCTGTCACTTATACCCACCCCCAAAGGAAGCCGCTGTGGCCCCTCTTTTGAGGAACAGTATCTTCAGCTGAGGTCTCGGTCCTCTTTGCAGACTACTTCTGTGGTGTGCTCTCTTGTGCCAATCATCACAGGCGTTCTATCACACAGTCCTCACAACAAACCCACAACTGCTGTGCTGCAGATGAGGAAATCGAGGCTCAGAAGTTACAAAGTTCACCTCTAACAAGGCTTGCCACAGACCAGACCCATTAGAGTCAGCTTTACATAGAGACCCACAGTGGAGGGCCAGGGAAGCCTAACAGAACAGCCTTGCAATGGAGGCCTGCCATCCTCCTGACACAGGTTCCAGGTCTGACTCTGTTGGAGATAAGTCTGGGGTGAAGGTTGGCCATGCATGACACCCTCCATGACAAAGCAAGGCAGCTCAGTTGTGAACCTGTTTCAGGATGCAGGAAGTACCGCAGGCTTCTGCGCCATCGAATGGTATTGGTGGTGGTGATAGGGGAAAATGAAAGCCTTTAACCACCAAAGAAGTATACAGTCATATGAGGATAGGCTATAGAAACGTGTTAGCCAGGTGACTTCCCCGCTTCAATGTCCTCTAGGCAGCAGTATCAAAAAAGACAGCCAGCTTTCCCTGCACTATAGCATATATTAAAGAGAAAATAACTGTCCTTCTCTGCCACCTGGTCTAATTCTATTTCCTAGGAGATCTTTCAGAGAGTCACCGGGCCTCAGTTTCCCCTAGTATGAATAAGCACCTGCCTGGCTCTGAAGCTGCAAACAATGTGTGTGGCAGTGTTTAACAAGACGGACCCAGGTCCCCTGTGCACTCACAGTCTTATCTATGGGAAGTGCTTTGAAATCAGAAAAAGAAACCACTGGACACAGAGAAAGGAGGGTGACGATAACCTCATATGGCCCTGTAAGGTACTGAGTCTGAAATCCCACAATGGCTATTCCATCACTGAGGTCTGGTCTCCAATTCAACATAGGTGGCACAGAATCCATCTGCAGAGTGCCAAAAAGTGCATGTAACCAATATAACCATCCTTTCTTCCCTTTACAAGAAACAGCATCACATGTGCACAGAAACACGAGACCAAGCAGCTTACTGGACAGGCTATTTGCCATATAAACCAAGAGTCTTCAAAAGGTTCCTGACCTCTGTTCTCTCTAGTTCCCTTCTGGGACTATCCTAAGAAATAAAACAAAAAACTCAGACTGAGAGAACCTCTGGGCATTACAACTGAAAATTCAACAGCTCCTTTACCCCATGACGTAAGAATCACATCCCCCAGGACATTTTAAAGCACCCACTCAGTGCAGTACTATACAGCATTAAGATGCAGGACCTGGTCATTTGCATGCTGTAGGAATTACTGAGTGTAAAACCAAACAGTCTATAAAATTATATATGTTCATGGTGGACTTGGCTATGTAAAATATGCAACACACACACACACACAAACACACAATATCACTGAGAACCAGAATTCAATGGATTTTTACTTCCTATCATATGGTATATTTTCTGAATAGAAAAACAAAATCACCATGAATTACTTAGTGATCAGCCAGAACTCAATGCTGGAGTTAGAAATGGTGCCAATAAACCATACACCAGTGCCCCTCACTCTCACGCCCAGCACCCTGTTGGTCCACTCCAGCACTGGGGACTGAACTAGTTAAAGACAGAAGAGAGTCTCTCCAGGACTACTCTAGAGTCTCACCTGGCTAGAAGGACTAGAAGAGGATGCCCATGCTGTGGAGCTACTCACCCATAATTCCACAGGAGAGAAGGGTAGGTCCTTGACTCATCTTCTTTGGCGTGTGCTGAAAACAACCAGAAAAGCTATTCAGTCTTCACGTCATCAGAAGCACGTTTGCACATGACTCTGAGCTGAGCTCACGACACTGAGATCTTCCTAAAGTCACAACTTCAGGGGGATCTGCCCTTTGCCAGCATCACGTTGAGGAAAGGGAAGGAAAGTAGCCCAAGAGACAAGATCTGCACTTTGCCTGGACTTTGCCCCAAGGCTCCAAAGCTACAGACAGAGCAGGCTAATACAAAGCGCCTGTGACTGCTGACAAGAGGGACTCTCTCCACAGAGGGTATAGGGGAGTTTTGATGCAATGACAGAACCAAACTTTACTAGGGGCTAGAAAGAAATTTGGAGAGGTGGGCCTCCTAGGAGTGAGGAGCAATGGACCCCATCCTACTCCCTGATGGCTCCCCAGGGGATAGAGAGACAGCATCCTCCACTACCCAGAAGGGAATGCTACAGTGAAGCTGCCAATCATTCTCTCTAAGCACAAGACACTCACTGGTTCTATCAGGTCTCAACCTGAGAGTTACGGTTTTCAACTCCTGAGTACTGCATATCACTGGGCTCCCCGCTCCACTGTGAACATTTTCTGCCTTCCCTCACAATCCACACCTACCTCAGCTGAATACCAGATGAAAAAGAAGCTGAGAATGCATAGCTACTAGACAGCAAGTAGAGCACAGAATATTCTGGGGGCTCTTGTGCTGTCCAGCATCCAAGTCAAGGGGCCTATTCAGAAGGCCAGTGAGGAGCAGACATCTCAGTCAGGACCCCGAGAAGAAGGTCTGCCTCATGCATTTCAGAGACTGGCTCCCTCCCTCCCGCACGTTCAGTTACAAGTATACTCAAGTCTACAGGAACTGACAGTTATCTGTATTCAGGCTGTGCTAGGGGTTGATCGTGCAATGGGAAATGAAGTTCTCAGCCTATTACACAGGCTTCTAGCTTCTGAGAGGAGCTCCAGTCCCCTACCACATGACAGAAAGAGGCAGGGTTTCTAGGGTGAGAAATGGGTGGGAGCTTGGGCTCTGGCTCATCAAGTCCCAGGAGGAGGGTGGGGCCGACTAGCAACACCTGGCCCACCCAGATAAGGTGGCTGGCGCCTGGCACCAGCTTCCTCACCCCATCCCCAGTGCTCAATTTGGGGACCTCTGCTCTTGGTCAGCAGGGCATTTATCTCAGAGAGGTTTAAAGGGCAGGATGGTCCTTCCCAGCCTGAGGACACAGAAGAGAAGAAGAGCTCAAACCTCAAAGAGGACAGTCACACAGACAACTCCCTCCATTACAGAGAGATGGGACTTGGGGGTGGGGTGCAGGGCATGTGTGAGGTGGGTAGAGATCAGAGCTAGTTTCCAGAGGAACATCTGAGCTGGTGTTGATAGACAGGAGGGTTATTGATGATAGAGAGCCCTTTTCCAGGCCTCTTCTTGGCTTAAAATAGTCTTTAACATTACCAGGCCGGGTCACCCCCTGGTATGTAACTGGCTTATAGCCACCCACTGAAATATCTAGAAAGAGTTAAAAAAGAGCTGCACCTGCCTCCATCTCAGCTAACATGGCTAGTGCTGCAGGATGTGCAGCTGGAAGCCACACCAAAGTCACCCAATAGGGAACAGGTGACACACAGGAGAGCCTGCCATCAGGGCTCCACCCACACAACCAAGTGGAGAAGCCTACAGAACCCAGGCAGGCCCCTTACTCTCCAGGGAAGGGTTCTGAGAAGGAACGGGGATTGCCTCCTGCTGGGGTGTCTTGCCAGCCAAGGGAAACAAGGTCTCAGTGCTCATGAGGTATCCAGGCTCAAGGACAACATCTACTCGGGTAGGTCCTAGTCAGCTCTATCCAGAGCACCCATGCCAGTGTCAACCAGATGGGCTAGGAGCCCACTGAAGCTATACCAAGACAGAGAGCACAGAAAGCTGAGAGAACAGGAAGGCTGGCATAGTGAGTGTGCATTACGAGCACACAGGTGTCCCAGGCAGGGCCTGGGGCTTCACATGCAGAAGCAGGAAGCAGAGTACAGTCACTTGTACCTTGTCAGGAGGGGAAAACTCAAGTTCTGTTCATTCCACTGAGTTGGCCCTGAGCACCTGCTTCTAAACCCTGCCTCACCCTGGCCCTGGTCTTTCTGGGCCTGATCCACACACTCTTCTACAGCCTGTGAGTTTTCCATCTTTATTCCAGCAGTATTCAATTTCGTTTGAGCAGACTGTAGATGACCCTGTCAAATTAAGAATCCTAGGGCTAGAGATGGCTCAGCAGTTGAGATCACTGGCTACTTTCCAGAGGACCAGGGTTCAATTCAAGGAACCTAATTGGCTTACAACCATCTGTAACTCTAGTCTCAAGGAATCTCACACTCACTTCTGGCCTCCATGAGCACTAGGCATATACATGATGCACACAGATATATGTGGGCAAAACATCCACACACAGGAAATTAAAAAAAAAAAAAAAAAAAAGAAGAACCTTGATTAGCTTCACACTGGATCTCAAGCTAGGACCAGGGCCCTGTCTTCTGAGCCCTAATCCTGAAGTGAAGCAGAACTTCATAAGCACCAGAACATCTCATCCTTAGCCTCCCAGGGTGGAAGGACCAAGCACACCCTGATCCCTGGCAGGTTTGCTTGGGGACTTCACATGGGCAAAACGACATCCAGGAGTTTCTGGCTCCAAGATGATACAAGCCTTCTTATTTCCAGTCTACCAAGAACACAATAAAATTCCCACTGCTCATGCCGCTCCTGCAGCCAGGCTTCTTACTCTTCAGATCCTCTATTCCCAGAGTAGGAAGAAGGGATAAGCGAATGCTGTGCCAAGCCAAGGTCCAGCAGCCCCAAAGGGACTCTGCTGTGAGGCCCCCCCAAGACTTCCGGAATCTGCAAAAGAGTGAGCTCAACTGCAGGCTGAGGTCTACAGGGAAGGAAGCCGAGAGCATGTTTCCTCTTTGCACGCCTCGCTCTTTGTGCCTGAACCCACCAGGGCTGTCTCAGTGAGACGATTCACGTCACAAGAGGAGTCTTTGGAAACAGGTCCTGGTAGGAAAGACAAAAGCTGGAAATCAAATTGAGGCTTCAGGGACATCTGTCTGACTAAAGAAGGCCCTGCCTTCAATAAAGACCCAATTAAGGCTCCAAAGGAGAAGCTGGCAAACACGGAAAATGCCAGGCCTTACCCGTGGCTTTCACAACTTTCTTCAAAGGTTGCTACTGCCTTATATAACTGAGCCATTTTTTCCTTTTGTTGACACAGGGAAGCCAGGGAGCCACAGTGTGAAGGGGAGATGCTCATACCACATACTAAGAACAGGCACAGTATCATGCCTACCTCTCAAACAGAACTCAGTAAGACCGAGACAGCAGGAAGAGGAGAGGAATCCAGGCCAAACAAGATGAAGAGAAGCTGAGAAGGGACAGTGCAATGGAGGGAAGTGTTTGAAGATGCCGGTGCAGCCCTGACTTCAAGGCTGAGACGGGCACAGGGGCCTCTAGGGTGCATATGTCTACCCAGGGTGAAACACACCAGGCTTCGGCTAGTCCATGGCCAGCCAGAGACTCTGGTTGGAGTTGTCGAGGCCATTACGCCAGGTTGGCCTGACAAGGAATATGAGAATTCCCTGTGCCTAGATAGCTGGACAAGGCTTAACGTGGCTACCAACTTCAGACTGGGCAAACACCTTCACGCTGGCGCTCTAATGCGGGGTGCAGAAGCCAGTGCCTCTTCTACTACGTGCATGCTTTGGGGACAAGCAGGCAGTCTATAGTTATATACTGTTCTCTGCCCGGGGCAGCCACTTGCCTGTCTCCTGTGGTCTCCGGGATTTAGAGAAAGCTGGAAGAGAAAGTTGGCCTGGCCAAAGAAGGTGGTTGCTTTGGAAACAGGAACAGGCTCTTGGCCTGCATGAAGGCAAATAGGCAGGAGCTGGGGGAGTTCGGTGCTCCAGGGTCAAACATCTGGGCTGCTTTCCAGTGACAGTGGCTAATGTTAGAACATGAGAAGGAAAAGCCCTCTGGACAGAGGAAAGCAACCCAGAAGACTAAAGAAAGAGGACCAGGAATGGTCACGGCTACCTAGTAGGCAAGGCAAGCCAGGGCTGGGAGCACAGCCGATCCCCATGCCTACCACTCCCAGGGAAGTGGGTTCCCGAGCCTGGAAGGAACGTGCTAAGCACTTGTCAGCTCTTGTTCTTTTTCCCGTACCTTCCTTGGGAGTAGGGACAGTCACCTTTGTCACCAGAATTAGGGTTTTGCTGTTTTGAGACAGGTTCTCATGTTGCTCAGGCTGGCCTCTAACTAGCTATGTAGCAAAAGCTGGTCTTGAACTTCTGATCCTCCTGCTTCCACCTCCCAAGCACTGCAGTCACAGGTATGTGCCACCAGTTCTTTCAGAAGGGAAGGAGAGGATGACTGTGAAAGGGCAGGGACCACCACACACAGCTCCTCTTGTTCCTCACCAGGACGCAGGACAGTGGCTGGGAGAGCTCCAGGGTCCCAGAGCCTAAGGAACCTTCTAGCTACATGTCTCAGGCCTTTCCTCTGGTGACTAGGAAGAGCCCAAGGGCCATATAACACACCTCAGAAAGCGGCTCCTGCCACCTCAAAGGCTCCCAGCCTCCCTAGAATCCCGGTTCCTTTTGAAATCTTAGGCTCCGTTTTGTTATCTTCTTGGTCTAATTAGAAAGCAAAAGAGAAACTGTTTCCCACCTTTTCTGTGTTAACTGGTGGCAGTTTGTGAGAAGATGATGTTACCAGTGTTGCATGTGAAGCAGGACCCCAACAACTTCCTCTGTTGCTCACAGAGGGGATTGGTTGACCTCAGACTCTGTCTCAGGGAGGTCATCACCAGATTGACACTATTTGGATCTTCAGGTACTTACAGAACTTTTCTCCTTGAGGTGGCCATGACCTTCAGACTTGGCAGTGCAGAAGGGTACTGGCCAGACCGTGCACTCCCATACTTAATTCTCTGAGCCACAGTTCCCGTCTGTCTAAGGGGCAGAGACAGATACATACACCTTTGCCCTTGCCTGAACATCTTCCATGGTACCCTCCACACCTTCTATGACCAACACCTGTGTTGAACCAGGCCCAGAATGTAACCAACAGTCAGTATGTGAGATGTCAACAAACTCACAGACAAGAAGAGCTCTCTCCAAAGAGGACACCCCTTACCACTGACCTGCTATCTGGAGCAGAGGGGAGAAGACAGATGGCTGTGGGCCTAGACAGGCCACCAGCAAAGAGCAGGAGGAAGAAAGCTGCTCTCTAGAAGGGGAACAGAGGTTGGAAGACAAAGCCTGGGCCTCGGAGCTAGAGAGCAGAGAGTGAGCCCTGAGGGAGGGATGAGTATGCCGGTCCTTCTGTCCTAGAAAGACAGCTCCTCTCCCAGGGAAGGCACAAGACCATGTTCCTCAGTTCGCGCTCAGGAAGGGCTGCTTCCACGACCTTGTGGCCCTGGTGCTGGGAACCAACTCTGTGGCTAGCCCCAGCCAGTCCTACTTTGACAAGCACAGAGGCAGCTGTGGGGGCCAACAATACAGCTGAACCCTGGGGACCTCTGAGCAATCCCTCAGTCCATCGGCACCATCTGCAGATCCTTCCCCAAAGTTGTTTTTTTTTTTTTAGTTAACTAACCAAAAAGATAAGACAAGCATGACATATATGTATGATCCATCACTACAAATTAAACACAGGGACCAAAACAACAAGGTCAGAAGCCGTGCCAAAGGGAACCTGTGCACTCGCTCACTCTAACTGAACACCTGTTATGCAAAGGTCCTGGTTCCATGAAATGCCTGGCTTTCATTAAGTGTCTGCCCCAGCACGAGGAGTCGGTCACTCAATACACAAGACCCACAGGTAACCTGTTAAAAAATGGTAAGAGCCAAAAAGGGACATAATGTGGGGAAAAAGTATGGGGGCAGGCAGGATTGAATGTTAGGCTGAACGGCCACAGAAAGGAGGAGAGAATCGTGTTAAGAGAAGAGTTCTAGGCGACTGAAGAAGTCCAAAGGTCCTGAGGCAGGCCACAGTTGGCATCTCTGTGCCAGGGGGGCAGTTTTACCTGAGTGGAGTAAGCAGAATGTTACAGTACTTGTGAGGCAGAAGCCAGGGGATGGTTCTGAGCACACGGACAGACTACACTGGTACTCCACATGGCTGCTGGGGAGAGAAGAGGTCTTAAGAGCCAGAAGCAGAGGCCCAGTTACCCCAAGAATCTACACGAGAGAGGCCAGCAGATAGGATGAAGGTGGCTGATGGTGGGGGTCGGGGATAACAGTGAGAAGTGATCAAATTGGAGATACACATTATCTGCGAATTGGAAGGAGGGTATGATATCTCAAGCAGCTCCACTCCTGCTCTAATGACCCAGGTTATCCATCAACCATGAACCTTAGCCGTTTCTCTCTGCCCTGTGTCTACAGTGCTGGGGCACAGGGAATAGCCTCAGAGATAGGTGCCCCAATACCAGTCTGAGGGAGGCTAAACATAGGCCAAGAGGCGGAGCTGGTGGATGGAAATGAGGTGAGTAAGTGCGCAAGCCACCGAGGCAGTCAGAGCCTTGCCGCAGGTCTCCGCTCTCAACTACATGTTTGGAAAATAAGATTGGGTCCAGTGGTTTTGAAGCCCCTTCTATTCAGCCTTCCAGGCCACACCCAGCACCCCAGTTCTGTGAGGCTCACCCTGATATATTTACAGCCCAGCCCGACTCCTCAGCACACCTGAACCTCAACAGGGTGTCAGCTATGAGCTGGCATACTGTGTGTTTGGTGGAGCCTCCCTCTAGACTGGGACCTACACTGGACAAGCAGGGCAAGGCGCAGCTCCAAGTCCTGCTGCTTCCTCAACTCTGTCGGCCTATGACCATCCACGGGAACAGGCACTTGTGAAGGCCCGTGGGTCAGATGCGGGTCCCAGGTGTTTCCCAAATTCACCGGGGCGAGGGGCTTCAGCCCACACACTACTCACAATGTGGGAACATGAGACAAGGAAAAGGAAGCTCACCACTGTTTGGTCAGAGGGCAAAGACCTGGGTGACTCCAGGAGGGTGGGTGACAAGACAGAAGCCCACCACCGTTTGGTCAGAGGGCGGCCGCAGAGGCTCTCACCACAGCCCGCCACCTTGCTGCCAAGCTGTTCTTTCTTTCTTCTTCATCTACCATTCTTGACCCTCAGGCAAGGGCTCTCACCCTGCACTGCCCTTTGGGGACAACCTTATCTCGGCCCCCACTCTGGCATCCCTCATCCTGGAGGCCAGGCAGGGATGAAAGAAATACTGGGCTCAGCTGAAGCCCTGGCATGATCCGCCTCCCCTCACTGCAGCAGCTCTAACCTGGGCCCAGCTGCTTCCTCCCTCTGAGGATGCAGCCACACAGTTCCTTCGCCACACAGCCCCAGCCTAGAACCTCTCACAGAGCTCTGCTTACTTCCAAGTTGTTAAGGCTGGGTGCCACCACATCCACAGCCACACCACAAACCTTCCCTGCACACCAGGCCAGAACGAAATGCAGCTCTTGAGGGTCCTCACCAGTTCAGGGACGAAGGTCCTGTGTGCTATGGAGTCAGCTCCCTGGATGATGAGGCTTCTCCTTAGGATCATCACCATGGTAAGGACCTCAGGCACTGGGCTGCATCCCAGGGTGGGCACAGGCCATCTTCAGGTGGGCACACTTGATTAATAGTGATAGCTGAGCATCCCGGGGAGTGATGTCATCAGAAACAGCTCCCCATCAGTTGCTCAGTCTGGGGACAAAGCCCTCTTGGAATGGCCAAAAGTAGTCAACAACCTGGAAAGACAAAAGACAAGCAAAGGGGTTCAATTCCAGGAAAGCCTGGGATGCCAACAGTGTAGCTCAGCCCCAGTGGTGCAGGGGACCCTATGGGGAAGGAAGCCTACCCTTACTAAAGAGGTTACCAAGGCCCAGAATGACATTCTTAGATCACACACACACACACACACACACACACACACACACACACACACACGCACGCACCAGCTAGCCTCAGGATATCCAATAGCCAATGCTCTACTAGACAGAGCAAAACATTTGGATCCAGCCATCAGCCATCTTCAAGACACACACACACACACACACACACACACACACACACACACACACACACGCACCAGCTAGCCTCAGGATATCCAATAGCCAATGCTCTACTAGACAGAGCAAAACATTTGGATCCAGCCATCAGCCATCTTCAAGACCACAGGTGCTGAGGTGTTAGCAGTATGTGGGTCCTGGCAAATGCGGCATCTTACCACTGACTGGGCTGGCTTTGCAGGCACACTGGGCTCGCACTAGGACAAGTTTAGACGGGCTGAGGGTCATACTCCTCACCCTCACATCCAATAGCAAAGGGGGCAGGGGATCCAGAGCTGGGCACTGGCTCACCTCTCCGCCTAGTCATGAACAAACGCTACTAACAAATCAGGAGGGTCTGCTTAGAGGCATACACCCCCTGCTTAGCAGTGCCGCGTTTCCACACAGTTACAACACTAGAGGCCTTTGTAGCGTTGTCCCTTTCCCCCGCAGTGAACCAAACCAAGGGACCTACGAGCAGTACCCGGACCGCCTTGGTACTGCCATTCTCCAAAGATCATCATGCCACCTCCCTGTGTACCGTGTCCCATCAGGCAAAGGCGGACACTGCACAGGCCTCAGTGCAGGTAAGAAAAGCAGTTCCTTACAAGGGGATTTCTCTGATCCTAGTTCCCCATCCCAACCTGTCTGTGGTTAAACCTTCAAAGAAAATTACCCGGACATGAGGATCTGAAGGTCACCATTGAAAACCTAAGAAATAATGGCAATAACAGCAATAAATAAATAGAAAGGCAGTTCCTAATCTGTAATTAAAAACAAACTGCTCAGTGCAGGAAAAGGTTTTAGAGGTCGCTGTGTAAAAATTAATTGCACCCTGGTATTTACTTCTCCTCCAGCTTGTAAATCACATTTTCCTGTTTACTTCGATTCGACTTTACAGTGGGTGCTATTGAATCTGCTATTATAGGCCAGCTGGTGAGCACAGGGAAACGACCTTCTACCTTCTTCGAAAACAAGGTTCGTCCAAAGTGCAAAATCAGGGATGGGGAGAGGGGAGTCAACGCATTTGTAAAGCTTGACTGTTCAGGAAAGGAGGCCCGGGGGGTCAAGAGTCCCCAGTGGCGCTGGGAGACCTGCTTCACGCTTCAAAACCACATCAGTCTACAAACCGTGCACCCTAACCAAGTGTGATGTGTTTAAGGAAAGAATGGCAAACCATTCCGCCTAGTTCTGGCTCAACAGCAGGGCCAGGAGTGCCCGCTGGCCCCCTGCATGCTTGGATCAGGAGCAGGCCAGGAGGGGTGCCCCTGGACTCACCCTTCAAAGGGGCCCTTTGTGCTGCCTAAGCAGGGGAGGCCTGATGGCAGCCATCACCTTTCTGGGTGTGAGCTTCAATTCACTCTAGGGCAGGCAGCCATTGGCACGAGGCCCAGGAGGAAAACTCCCTGCTTCCGTCTCCGAGGTGACTGGTGGGCTCAGTGGTCACAAACTCAGATCTTGAGTCCAGCACATCTGGGCTGAAATCCCCACTCTTGGAATACGATATTTCTCTATGGGGCTCAGTTTTCCTCTTTTTACTGTATCCTAGAAAAGTAAAGCTCAAGCCCTTTGCTTAGTGCCTGGTTCATCTGAGAAATCATAGGCGGTAGATACTACTGCTAGTTTCATGGGGGAGCCTGGGAGTCCCAACCCTCTTTCCAGCAGTGGACATCCAGGCCATCATCCTCTCTAGTTTGTTTAAATCCCATCAGCAGAGGCCTGGCTGTATTATAGTCCATCCCTCTGGTGAAGCTGGGAGACTAGTAAGAGCAATGCTATGGAAATTATTGCCATGGAAACAGGGCAGCCCATCTAGCCACAGCTCTGCACAGAGCTGCAAAGTGGACTGAGCTCTTTGCAGCTCCACCCCCGCTGTAGCCCTACAGAGGACCAGAGCTGGCACTAGGGGTGGAGCACTACAAGCACCTGTGTACCTGGGTAGTCAGTAAAGAACCATAGGTCTGGAGAAGGAAGAAGGATGGCACCAGCCCCGCCCTCGAAAAGAGGCAGCACTATATACATGCTGAGAGCAGAGGGAAGGGCAGTGTGTGTGTGTGTGTGTGTGTGTGTGTGTGTGGTGGTGGTGGTGGTGGTGGTGGTGGTGGTGGTGGTGGTGGTGGTGGTGGTGGGGTCTTCAAGACTCCTCTGCACAGGGGCCCAGAGCAGGAACACCCTAGCTGCCCACTCACAAGGGACTAGTTAAATAAACTACAGTATAGCTGTGTGACAGAATACTGTGTGGCCTTTAAAATGGTTTTAATGAAGCAGTCAGAACATGATGTGGGGAACGGTATGCACACTGGCAGCCATGCACAGGAAACACGGAAGGCAAGAGGACAAAGAGCTGGAAAGACCCCAGCTCTGAAAGCCATGCTGAATGCGGACTTTATTCCACAATATGGTGGCTCCCGGAGGAGTTGTAGCTGGAACTGGCTCCTGGGATCTGCTGGAAGAGGCTTTCTGCCCTTTATACACATGAGCCAGCACAGTCCCTTGAACAGAGTGTGAGCTCAGCACACACTTCTGGAATTAGGCTAAATCACAGCAGCTTCTGTGAGTCTGGGTACATCGTCGGACCGCAGAGGCTCATGCAGACCAGGAGAGCCTGGCCAATCTGGAGTTGCCTGGTTTTCTTTTGACCAGTGGCATAGGTTTGACCAACCCCATGAGGGGATGCTGGTGCCTGTCCAGTGACCTAGACCGGTGTAAGAAGGCCTCTTGCCAGAGAGAAAGGGAAAGCACTGGGAGATCCCAGCAGGGTGGGTGGCAAGACATAAGCCTGGCAGTACACCCGTAGAAGCCACCTCTTGAGCACAGGACCTGCTTGGCCTGGGTGGTTTTCTCTATAACCACATGAAGCACAGCTTTTATCTACTGAGCACTACTGTGGTCTGTCTCCAAGGGGTCACCTGCTCTCAGTGTGGCCATGTTTAAGGGGTGAAGGGCACAGTGAGAGATCATCAATCAGGTCTTGCAGGGCACTGTCCTTTAGCAGGTGTCATGAGACTAGGTGAATTTTCTTTAAAAAAAAAAAAAAAAAAAAACTTTTCTAAAATCACATGCCTGGCCACGCCCAGCCACTCCTGTCTCACCATGTGCTTTCTCCATCTTACATATAATATGTATGACACCATCTGCCGGGAGCCCTTCAGAGCTGAGCCAATTCTTCAGCCACGCTGTGAACCCTTCCCTCTTAATAAAGTCTGTTCTTCATAAGTTACCCAGCTTCAGTTATTTTATCTGCAGGAAATGAACTGACAAGTCGGGAGGCATGGTGGCTCATGCCTGTAATCCCAGCACTTGGGAGGTGGAGGCAGGAGGACCAGGAGGGGCATGGTAGCTCATGCCTGTAATCCCAGCACTTGGGAGGTGGAGGCAGGAGGACCAGGGTTCAAGACCAGCTTCAGTTACATCAGATCTTGCCTCAAACCAGCACCATCCCAAAATAAAACAGACAAACACCTACTATGCTAGTAAACGCTGCTTTACACACATTAGCTGTAAAATAGGCTCATCTATCCCCATTTCACAGCCGTATGAAGCAACTCACCAGCGTCTAGGTTGAAAGCTAGGATCTGATCCCTGGTGGACCATCTCCCAAGCTTATACCTTCACGTTGCTCCCCACCTGCCTATCCCACATGTGCCCTTCAGAAACCCACTTAGGCAATGGCCATATGGCCTAGCAATCAATTGCATTCCTCGGCATTTACCTGGAAAAGTAAAACATGTTCACCTCAAACCCTGCGTACAAATGCCTTATTCATAACAGCCAAACCAGGAAACCAGCCAAACGTCCTTCACTGGTGAATGGTTAAACAGTGGCTCATCCATTCTAGGGAATACCACTCAGCAGTACAAGGAGGAACTAGGCATGCACAAAAACTCGATGAGCCAAAGAACTATTGGAGGTGGGGGGGGGGGAGTGAACCCCCTAGGGTTTAACTGCTATATGATATCATTTGTATCAAATTCTTGAAATGATAAAATTACAGAATTGAAGAATAGCAGTCGTCAGTCTGGAAGGCGGTGGTGTCAACAAAAGCAACACAAGGTACGCTGTGGAAGAGGAAGGTGCTTTGGCCTCCACTGTTCCATGTCTGTTTTCTGATGCCGGGCTTCTGAAGCTATTACTATTGGGGAAAACAGTAGGAAACACCCATGCTCCTGTTTCATTTCTTAGAGCTGAATGAATATAAAATGACATCATTTTAAACTAAAACTTTTTGAGTACGTGCACAGGACATGGTGCACATGTGGAGGTCAAGGGGTAACCTGCAGGAGTTAGCTCTCCTACCATGTGGGTCCTGGGAATCTATCGGGCCCGGTGGCAGGAACCTTTACCCACTGAGACCTCTCCCTATCCCCAAACTAAAAATTTTAATTAAACCCTACTTCATGTGTGTAAGTTAAAACTCAGAGACCTAAATACTTCAAGAGTGCATTGTACTAGGAAGTCCTGGACACCGGTCTCCATACCCCTTTCCGAAAGCAGGGATGCAGGCCACATTTCTCATCTGTGAACCTTGCCTGACATCTGATTCTCTAGATCTGTACTGAAATTCTCTATCGTTGCTGCCCAGTCCCTACATTCTACACCCACCTGACTGCCATGACTTCCTGGGCAGCACAGACAGAGGTTTCCTGTTCTGTTTCTCCCTTTAAGCTGCCCAATGTCTGGGGAGGGTCTCCCCTGGCTGT